GAATAATTAATTTAATAAAATTTTTTATCGATATCTGAATACATAGTGTATTATATTAGAGTTTTTTTATGCGTACCTCTTTTGTAAACGTATGTATTATATTAATCACTGATTTATGTTCCTTTCCTGAAGGCGTTATGTCGTACAACCAATCCGACCAATACCACGGTTGAATAAATCGATCAAACATTAATTGAGATATTCTAAAAGTACGATTAAAACGGTAAACCGATATGACAGTATATTTTTTTTATGCCATTATTATTATACATTACTATTAATTATACATATATATATATATATATTTATAATCATACAAAATTTGCTATATTAATTCTTAAAAAATCTTGTTAATAAGTTATTAATGCTATTAATTATTTTATTACTAATAAAATAATGCAATTCATGATTTTTCGTACCTATGTATTGTTGTAATAAACTTGTTTTCACTTTCTTGAGCATGTACATCCACACCCATTGCCGTTTCTGTGCAAAATAATGACTTGTTAGTATCGTCAAAATTCCCTCATAAAAGTATGCTACATTTTATTGCTTATAAATTACATAAAAGTGATACTGAATTACAATAAAATTGATACTTATGACTTTCGAATAATTAATTTTGTTATATACAAAAATTAATACAATATAAATTTTTTTTTATATTTAAATACCTATGAGAATAAGGCATTATTTATTCACAATTAAATTAAATGTGACGTAAAATTCGATTTTTTGCATTGATTTACATATGCAATGTCAAAAATCGAGCTCATTGAAATTATACTAGTATTGTAATTCGTGATTATACGAAAAAAAGCAATTTATTTATTTAGTACCACATATAATGTCGAGAGCAACATTGTTAGCAAACGGAAAAATATTGATAGCTTTCCCTGGATTTTTTGCTATTTCTTTCTCGAGACATTTTGTCAAGATTTCTGCTTTTTCAGACATAATCACAGCAAATTGGTCCAATATACTAAAATGGAACGTCGGCCCGATGAGTTTTCTATCATGGTTCCATTGTTTTCCTGAAGCAATACCAATCAGCAAAACATTTACTTATTAAAAATATCGTAAAAGAGATAAAAAATACATATAAGTGCGCATAGATAATTAATATAAATATAATTAAATTTCCTGTTTCCTGTTTTATTTTGCAAGCCTACCGGAGATTATTCGTTGACTAAGTACTAGTTGACTTGATACTAAATTCCTGAACGACTCTTGTAAATAAAAAAAATTTCACATAAAATTGAATAACGTTTAAAGCGCGCCAATTTACATGAATAATTAATATTAATATAAAATCATATTTATATAAGTAAAATATTATTATTACAAATATATAATATTTACATAAGTAAATATTTAATAAATAAAAATCTCTCTCTCTCTCTCTCTCTTTTGTCAGAATATAAATATATGTATAGAAATTTGTATATTAGAATGAAACTTTACTCTTTCTTTTTTTTTCGTAATTTGTTCAAAATTCTTTTGCCAATAATCATATAACAAAAACACACAATCTAATGTAAGCTGCAATTTACTTTTTATCTTCAATGAGATATTAAAGTTAGATGTAAAAGAGTTTATGCGTTTACCTGTAGAAGTTAGAAATCCTTTGCCTAACCAAGGTTCCAGCATTTTATAGGAGAATCCTTTTTCGATATTTACGGTGCTGGGCAAAATAATCTGTAAAAATGTGTTTAAAAACAATATAACCATGCGAATAATAATTTATCACATTTATATTAAAGATATTTTTTTCAAATTTTTAATTTTTTCAAAAACAGAGCCTCATATGCAAAAATTGTATTCCATATTTACGACTTACTTTTTCATGTATCATTAATTACATTTTTTCCTGGTGTATCATTAGGAAAAAAACATCCTATTTAATATTCTAAACATGAAACCGATAATTGACTAGATCGCTAAATTAATTTGGAAAGTATAGTTTGACCGTGAACTATCTCGATCGAGAGGCAGATCAATTTTTTTTCATTATGCAAATATAATAAACGCCGATTCATATTTATTCTTACCTCTTAAATTTCAGGTTTATAAATATTAATAAAGGGTTTCAAGCCAATCCAATGAATGAAAATTCCATCTTTAAAATCACCCATACGTTGCACAAACCATAGTACGTGTTCTGTGGATAAGCATATAATCAGATATTCAGTATTTATTAATTATTATACTGATTTAATATAAGCGAATTCCTTGTTTTAAGTTCTTTGCTAAAAATATATAAATAATATTTGTAAAAGAATATCATGACAATGTCTTATTTATAAAGTTCTTCACCATACTCCGTCAGCTTCATTAATTCAAATGCCACACCAAAAGGAAATCTACCGAGTTGAGGAATATTTTTGATCTTTCGTCGAAGAATGTACTGATGATATATTGTCGATATAATTGGGATTATTAAAACAACGAACAAGGCGCACAGTATCAAAGAGATTAACTCCATTCTTATAGCCTGTAAACATATTAAACAGCTTTTAAGTTACCAAATATGTAAATGCGTAAATTACTATAGTTATTTTTTAAATTAGAATTACATTTGAATTTTACACACACACACACACGCACGCGCGCGCGCGCACACACACACACACACACACACACACAGATTGATAAAGATTTCATTCATACGATGTTTATATCATTATTAGCTCTACTATTCGATAAAATTTTATGAAGACACTTTATTAATAATAGATATGATGGGTATATAAATACATATCATCGATCTATTACGTCCAGATTCGAAAAAGAATAAGTCAATAGAAAGGCGCAATAATCTTGACTATCCCGAAATTAGACGCCTCGCGACGTAAAAATCGGGTCGAACAAACTCGCGGGTCTGAAAGTCAGGTAAACGACTGTTAGGGTCGTTATTATGCTGTTTATTCAGACATTCGCTCGGTGGTCCTTTACAATTCGAATTTTTATTCATTCTCTAGAAAAAAACTTTATAAGTCGAAGAAAAATAGGAGATTAACTCGAAGTATTTTTTGAGTCTACCAGTTATCTTAATTCCTCTCTACAGGGTGTAAATGAATACCTGTTACAAACTTCTAGGATATGTAGAGGGTTCAAAGTAGACCAACTTTTAATAAGAAACTCATGTCCGGAAACGCACCGTTTGCGAGCTGCAAACTGGAACTGTTGGTATGTTCACGGAAATGCGTTGTTTCCTCAAAAAACTGCTGATACGGGCGCTCTGTTACACCCTGTATATAACAATAATTTAATGATTTATTAATCACACCTATATCAAGTTCGTCATCCTCGTTTTCGGATTTGGCAGAACCGTTTCCCGATTGTCGTGCGATCTTTCTTTTACGTATCACCTAAAATTTATCATTTATCCATTGCAACTTTGTATTTACCCCAACAAAAAGTAGCGTGAATAATTAATTTAATAAAATTTTATCGATATCTGAATACATAGTGTATTATATTAGAGTTTTTTTATGCGTACCTCTTTTGTAAACGTATGTATTATATTAATCACTGATTTATGTTCCTTTCCTGAAGGCGTTATGTCGTACAACCAATTGAGATATTCTAAAAGTACGATTAAAACGGTAAACCGATATGACAGTATATTTTTTTTATGCCATTATTATTATACATTACTATTAATTATACATATATATATATATATATTTATAATCATACAAAATTTGCTATATTAATTCTTAAAAAATCTTGTTAATAAATTATTACTGTTATTAATTATTTTATTACTAATAAAATAATGTAATTCATAATTTTTCGTACCTATGTATTGTTGTGGTATACTTGGTTTCACTTTCTTGAGCATGTACATCCACACCCATCGCCGTTTCTATGCAAAATAATGACTTAGTATCGTCATAATTCCCTCATGAAAGTATGCTACATTTTATTGCTTATAAATTACATAAAAGAAATAAAATTGATACTTATGACTTTCAAATTAATTTTGTTATATACAAAAATTAATACCGATATAAAATTTTTTTTATATTTAAATATCTACGAGAGTAAGACATTATTTATTCACAATTAAATTAAATGTGACGTAAAATTCGATTTTTTGCATTGATTTACATATGCAATGTCAAAAATCGAGCTCATTGAAATTATACTAGTATTGTAATCCGTGTGATTATACGAAAGAAAGGGATTTATTTATTTAGTACCACATATAACGTCGAGAGCAACATTGTTAGCAAACGGAAAAATATTGATGGCTTTCTCTGGATGCTTTGCTATTTCCCTCTCGAGACATTTTGTCAAGATCTCTGAATACCTGTTACAAACTTCTAGGATATGTAGAGGGTTCAAAGTAGACCAACTTTTAATAAGAAACTCATGTCCGGAAACGCACCGTTTGCGAGCTGCAAACTGGAACTGTTGGTATGTTCAGTATTAGGAATAATCTCCGGCGGCTAATATCCGTTCTTTTTTCGCTACGATTATTATGTCGATTGATGAGTTTGAAATAATTCAAATTAATATAGCATATCCAGATTTGTACAAAAAGTTCGTCAAAAATATCTTTTTTCTCATTTAATATATGTTTACCATATCACATGTAATTAAATACTTATTTTAATCATGTTGATTCTGATTATTTTCTTTAACATATTATATTTTGTATACATATATATTCTTACAAAAGATAGCTACTTATGTTTTATTTTTGTACAAACTATTACAATAATTCTAATTAAATAAATATTTATTATGAAAATGTATATTCTATTCATCTTTTTTTATTTATCTATACATATCTTATGCTCTTAAAGCTGCAAAATTTGTTTTTTTACACATGGGCAACCGGCTGTCTAGGCGCGGCTTTAGTTTAAATAAAATTAATTTCTTTATCGCAAAGAAATATCGCTTTGAGAGAGCACCGTTTTCTTTTCGGTGACTACTTAACTTACGAATCACACACAGCATCATTATCATGATTAAATATTCTTGATGAGCACAAATTATGTCACATCGCGAAATTGGATTAATAGAAATTTTATCTATGTTATTTTCTAATATCTTACGACTAAATGAGATTCGAACGCTAACGAGATACAAAATTATAACTATTTAGATGCAAAATGTCATATTACATTGTAATAAAGATTTTAATACTGCGATACGTAATTAATATACTGATATTATATAACCATTTTATATATATATATATATATCACAATATACATCAAGTGCATCTTATTATATTTTCAGTATTTCTTTAAAATTTTGTCTTTCTTTAGTGAAGCATAACATACTAGTTTTTTATCCAGAATACATCAAATCCATCTTCCAAAATTCTTTGGATTCTTTCCATTGATGATATATGCGTTCCGCATGTTTCCGCGCTATTCTACGATGATATGCTCGTTGAAAGTACCAATCTGAAGCGCTACGCTGCCGTTGCTTCTTATGCATATAAAATCTGCGAAAATGAAGAGTATTATTTGTTAATGATATTGTACTTATAAGCGCATTTGATAGAAGCTGCAGTTTTAAGGATAGTAAACACACTTTCAAAAGTTATATCTGTATTATTTGCTTCTTAAACCTTATTTCTCAAATAATTAATACCTTTTATTATCACTCTGCCAGTTCGTATTTATATAATCCTGTTTATCTTGTTTTGTTACACGAGTATTAAATGAAGACTGTTTAGATTTATGGTAATTATCAGTCTCAGATATACGATTCTTAATTTCATTTTGAGGGAATATCTTTTTTTTCTCTTTGATATTTTTATTATCATCATTATTAAAGACCTTTTTGGTGGAACTACTCCATTTAGTGTAGTCTTTTTGTTTTGGTCTACTCTTTCCATACAGAATTTTTATAGAACTTTCATAATCCGATACAGATTTTTTGCTATTTACATCATGTTTGTTGTTAGAATTAACAATACAATTCTCTGTTTTACACTAAAAAGAATGTACAATTTATATTTATATGTAACTTGTATGAAACTGCATGCTATGTATAATATTTCTCTAAATCTTTTTGTAAATATATTTACTTATTATCTTTATATATTATACACACATAAAAATCTTTACATTCTTTCCCTTTCCTTTTCTCTCTCTTTTTAACTTGAGATCTGTAAGAAATCAACAATTTTATATAGATTTATGACTTACGCTTGATGTGGTAGGCAATGTGGGTACATCGATATTAAATCTTGGACAAGAATTGGTTGAAAGTGGGCACATGTCTTTCCACAGTTGTATTAAAATATTATCAAAATTATTCTTTGATATCTCGTCGTCTTTTTGTATTTTAATTGATTGTAAATAATCATTCTCTCTTGTACCATACCAATTAACTGATTTTCTATTATTTTCTTCACTATCTTCTATTGATTGTTCTAAAAATTCACTACTATCCTTATGACGCTTATTTTTTATCCATCTGAGTCTCGCCTCATATTTAGTACATATATGCTTATTTAACATCTCGCTTTTTTTTTCTATAGATTCTGAGGAAAGTAGCTGAGAAGTATTATGTATTTTATCACTGGCATTTTGGAAAAACCTGATATATAATACAATAATTTAAATACATACAATAATAATTATAATGTGGGAATAAAAGAATTAGATATGTTATTACTTACTTTGTAATAGTATAATTGTGTTCATTCAATCTCTTAGTTTTTTCATTTTTTAAAGAGCCCTTTCTATCACCATCATAAATTTTCTGGCTACTTTCTTTATCATATTTTGCTTGAACTACTGTATTATCAGCTTTCCTGATTTGCTTCTTTATATATCCTATTTTTGTATTTTTTTTTCCAAATGTTTTTGTATTCAACTTTTTTGATGAATAGTTTGAAAAACAAGATTTATTATAATTTTTGAAAAACTGATTATTTTGTGTTAATTGTTTCAAGAATTCATCATCAAGCAGTACACTTTTCAAATCACACAATTTTTTAATTAATTTGTGTCTTTCTTTAGTATATGTATTGTACACATTTAATGTTATCTTGCTCATTTTTTCTATCAAGTTTGAGAGAAGTAACTTAGAAGTAATATGTATTTTGTCACCGTTATGTTGCAAAATTCTGAAATATAATGCAATAATATAAATAAACAATAATAATTTATAATTTAGAAATAAGAAAACTTTTATATGCATTTTATTATACTAATACTTACTTCAAGGCAAGAGAATTGTATTCATTTTGTGTATTGTTATTAAATAATATCAAGTTTTCATAAAATGCTTTTGTACTATTCACAATATCCAATGTCTCACTTATTTCATTTTTCAACGAACTGTTGTTATCATAAAGAGATGCCAATGATGATAATACATGTAGAGACACTTGAAGTTGAGATACTTGATCCAATGAATATGGATCAAAATTGAAAGATTCTGATGTAATAATTGGCTTGTTACTCATTTTATTCGCAGCATCTATCTTAGAAAACTGCCCTATAAAGTGCTCCATAATTTTTTTATCAACTGCAGTACGAGCTTTAATTTCATTTAGCATAGTTTTCACTGGAAACAAGAAATCTGATTAAGATATAAGCAATAAATTGGAATAGATTTTACCAAGATCTTTCATAAAACTTTTGATCTTACCTTCCGTCAGTCCTTTGAGAGTATTAACAATATTGTGACCTACAGTCTTAAGACTTTCATTATTAATCCCATTTAAGTTTGGACAGGCTTTGGAATCTATGAAAGAATGGCTAAGAACAAAACCAATAATGATACCAATTACACAAGCCATAAAAACATCTCTTATATTTGCCTATATAAACAAAAAAAAATTGTTAGTAAAAAGAAATTGAAGATATTTTATTAAATTCAAAAAATATTAACAAAAAAATATAATCTTATTGGTAGATCAATAATAAAATACAACTTATATATTATGTATATGTATACATATATATATACATAAATGTAATTATTTATACCTGTTTATTTATTTGTGTTTCCAATATCCGGAGAAGCCTATATGTGTTACCATTAAATTGACAGATTTGGAGGATATTTGTATTAATAGTATCTGTATCGCTCTCCGTTATGACAGATATACCATCGGATATATCCTCTGCTTCTGTATTTATGCACAAGACTTTGTTATCATCATCGTTTATTTCTGCAGTCTCAATATTTGAATCCCCCTAAAATTAAAAGTCAAGTGTTTTATTCACTTACACATATTCCAATATTATTTACTTGCATAATATCCCGAAAGTTTCATATATCAATATTATTGTGTACATTAGAGTTCTCACCTTCTGTACATCCAATGATTGACGTGAAGTTTCATTGTCATCACTCTGTTTAATCCAACTAAATTTAATCCATTCGTTCCCATTTGCAATCACCTCTTCTTCATGAAGACATATTTCATTGATATTTACATCATCCATTGTTTGTGTCTCGTAGGTCTCATAGAATTGTGACAAGTCTATCAAATACTGTCGCAAATTAACGCAATAAAATATGAAAATTCATATTCGTTGAGTCACGGCGCAAAATATATTTTATAGAAGACGTGCCAAAATACACGCTATTGCAACGATTATTATCCAATAGTTCATTTTGCGTGATATGATCCAACCAGACTCCGTTCAATTTTGCGAATGATATATATATATCAAGGAGACAAATAAATTCTCGACCACTACTCTTTTGACATTTACGTAGTTCTTAGCGGAGAATAAATACTGAAATGCGCGTGCGAATAGCAAAGCAACATCTATATGTAACGTCACCAAACGTGATACGTTTTTATTTTTGGATCCAGCAGATTAATATCGATTGCAAGATAATAATCTTGCGACAATTCGTGTTTAGCAAACACTAATACGGGAAGATTAGTAGATGGAACCTTCTATCAATCTCTCTTTTGTCAGAGGCTCTTCTTTATTCTATCCCTTCCTCTATTCCGAATCAGCTGTTTTTCTCTATTAAAGGCCATCACACACAAAATTCCGTAAGGACAAAAACGTAAGCGTAAGAAAATTGACCAATCCCAATCAAGTATCGGGCTTTCCGTAAAAGTGGAGGGGTTACGGAGAGCCAAATACTCGATTGGAATTGGTCCATTTTCTTACGCTTACGTCTTAAGTCCGAATCACACTAGCGGCGTAATATTATACAGAATTCCTACAATTTAATTAAAATGTTTTAATTGTTATAAAAATACGTGATTTTCTGGCAGTGCTTCGTTATTTACAATACGGAGACTCACGTATTACTGCTGGACTCCCCCTTGTTTATCATTTCCCCTCTTGTCTCAACCAACACTACAAATTTGCATGTCATAAGGTCATGCGATATATTGTGGTCAAGCATGGAGTGAGAACTGAGAAATGACATATCATGCTTTCTCACTCTACGCGTGGTCACGTGACAAATGCTATACGTGTCCGGGGAGAGAAGTAAAGGCCATCACACACAAAATTCCGTAAGGACGTAAAGCCCGAATCACACTAGCGGCTCGCGGCTGCGATTGCGATTGCCTCAGCCAATCAGAAAGCATCAATTGCAAGTATGATTGGAGCGTAGCAAATCACAATCACAAACGCAATCGCAATTGCAGCCGCGAGCCGCTAGTGTGATTCGGGCTTTACGTCCTTACGGAATTTTGTGTGTGATGGCCTTTACTTCTCTCCCCGGACACGTATAGCATTTGTCACGTGACCACGCGTAGAGTGAGAAAGCATGATATGTCATTTCTCAGTTCTCACTCCATGCTTGACCACAATATATCGCATGACCTTATGACATGCAAATTTGTAGTGTTGGTTGAGACAAGAGGGGAAATGATAAACAAGGGGGAGTCCAGCAGTAATACGTGAGTCTCCGTATTGTAAATAACGAAGCACTGCCAGAAAATCACGTATTTTTATAACAATTAAAACATTTTAATTAAATTGTAGGAATTCTGTATAATATTACGCAATATATTGCAATGTAATATATAAAAGAATCTTCATAAAGAAATTACGTGATAAAGAATATACTGGAGGAAACTGAAAAGGACGCAGGAGAATTGTCAGGATGATTGAGCATAATTTTCCGTCCTTGAAAAATGATCGTATACTCAAAGCGGCACGCGGGGAACCCGTTGACAGAGTGCCGGTTTGGGTCATGAGACAGGCCGGGAGATATCTTCCGGAGTTTCAGGAAGTTAGAGCCCAGCACGATTTCTTCACCGTCTGTCAAACCCCGGAATTGGCATGCCAGGTGACCCTGCAGCCGATAGAACGTTTCGATCTGGACGCCAGTATAATATTCTCGGACATTCTAGTGATCCCTCAGGCCATGGGCTTGAAGGTCGAGATGGCAGCGGGGATAGTAAGTTAAAATCTCCACAAATTGTATGTTTCGAAAGCAATAGCTAAGTAACGTACATCGTATTCACATCTCGTTGTTTATTCTCTTTAAATAAGAAGTATCTGTTAGGGTCCGGTCTTGCCTCAACCCTTAGCCAATCCCAATGATTTAGCAAGACTCGTACGACCAAATGTAGAAGAGGCTCTAAAATATGTTGGGGACGCTATAACATTGACTCGGCATAAATTAAATGGAAGAGTGCCATTGATAGGTTTCACCGGAGCACCTGCAAGTATTTTTATATTGTCTAGAAAATCATATAAAATTGAGAATTATTTCAATATAGGAATACACATTGTAAATTTCTGCTGTATCGTGAATTATATAATTTACATATATTAATTTTTATTTTAGTGGACACTGATGGGTTATATGATTCAAGGAGGAGGTAGTTCCACAATGGCAAAAGCAAGGTCTTGGTTGTACAAGTATCCAGAGGACTCTCACAAATTATTGCAGATAATTACAGATGTTATTGTGGATTATTTAGTGATGCAAGTGAAGGCTGGTGCTCAGGTATATTCAGAAATATATTTTGACAAAGAATAAAAGATTCGTTTGTAAAAAGAGAATTTTTACAGTACATCATATATACAATATAATGTATACATTATATTTTAATAATAATATAAATTGAAGAAATGACAATATTGTCTTTTTCAGTTACTTCAAGTATTTGAAAGCAATGGTGACTATTTCGATGATGCATTGTTTACAACTTATTCTTTTAAATATCTCAAACAAATAAGCGAACGTGTACGAAAGCAATTGAAAGAAGCAAATATTCCGGAAGTGCCTATGGTATTTATTATAATTATCCTGAAATGGACAAATTACTTTTGTAAATATAAAATAAATCTTGGATCTGTTTTCATAGATTGCTTTCCCAAAAGGTGCAACCATGAATTCTTTAAAAATTCTCGCTAAGGATCAAAGTTACGAAGTTATTGGTCTTGATTGGACTGTAGATCCTATTGAAGCCAGAAAACAGCTTGGGCCTAATGTCACATTGCAAGGTAACATGGATCCTTGTGCAATGTATTCTTCCCAGGTATGTCAGATATTTTCTTCAAAATTTATAAAAATTATACTGATTAATGATAATTATGATACATAGACATTTACAAGGATATTAAATATATTCATCATTATTTTTAGGATGAAATTATTGATCGTGCACACAAAATGGTATCAAATTTTGGTAAAACTCGATATATTGCCAATTTAGGTCATGGTATTTTACCGGATACTCCCATTCTATCCATGGAAGCTTTCATTAAAGGTGTACATTCTGCATAAGTATATCCTTTGCAATCGTAAATGTAGATATACTAAACGCGTTATGCATTTGTATAAGTCGTTAAAATTATTTTGTTATTAAATACGTTGCATTGTTTTATTTCCTTGCTTATATTTACTGGGATTTTATAATATTTCTAATGTCAAAAGTATTTTTTGAATATCATTTTTCAATAAAGGAAAGTCTTGGCTCGTTCTTTCCATTACATGTTTCAAATAATCATGAAGAATCTGTTCGTTTTGGAATTCATCGCTTATTGCTGTTTCACTTTTGAAAAACATCTTGTATCGGCCACTTTTAATGTCTTGAAGCATTTTAGCTTTTCGTTGTTTGAAAACTAATGCTTGCAAATTCTGCAAGAAACAGAAGATTTTCTAATTATAACAATGTTAAATTTTTAACCAAATATTAATTCCAAATTCGTAAAATTAAAGAAAATAATTTGCATAATTTACGTGATATTTAACAGCTTCCATTTGCATTATTTCCTGATCCACATCTGGGATAACATCTTCTATCATTTTTAATGCTGTTTGCGATTCCTTACATTTGTCTAGTGTATCTTTTATTTGAGATTCTTGCTCGAATATTCTATTTTCAATTTTCTTTGTATCCTATAATAAATAATTAATCAAAAGAATATATATATGAAGAATGAAAGATTTACTTCAAGCAGTAATATTGAGACAAGTTGATAGTAACTACCTTCCCGATTTGTTTTATCTTCAATTTTTGATCGGCAAGACGTTTACAGAATATAACTTTCTGATTGTGTTGTCCTTTTGGATCTTTCTTAAATTTGCTCATAACTTTGTCCAATATAATGTCTCTCCGCGCGACACAAAACTCCATATCGTGAATCAATTTTTCTTGTACTCTACGCAAATGTGACAGACGCATTTCCATTTTATGAATTTCGCTTTTCATCACGGCAATGTCACCACCACTGCTACGCTCATCTCTCAACTTCTTCATTGTTTCTTGCATTAACTGTACCTAAAAATATAAAATAAATTAAACGACCCGTTTGTTTGCTTGAAGTAAATAATTAAATATTGTAAATTTGTGTGGAAAATGTTGTTCTCGTGCTCTATAATTATATATTATTATTATAATTATAATTATATATTATTATTATTATTATAATTATATATTATTATTATTATTATTATATATATATGTATCTAAAATTTTACTTTTTTCTCCCATGATAAACTTTCTTGTTGCACTGCATCTAGATTGTCTTTCAGAAGCATTTTTTCCTCATACAATTGCTTTAAATCACTTTGCATTTTTATTAGATTTAATTCTGCATCTTCGAGGGATTGCACTCCCTCGTTTTTTGTAATAGAATTTTTGTCTTCTAACTCTTCTCTCAGTCCTTTCTGTATAACTAATTGCGTGTTCATCTGTACCAATTTTTGTTGCAATAGATTCAATACTCTTTGCATATTCGATTCTTCCTTATCAAACATTTCCAAGCTATGCTCTAGTTTCAAATTTTTTTGCTCCATTATCATAATTTCCTTATTAAGAAGATTAAGTTCTTGCAGCTGTAAATCCCTTTGTTGGCTTAATGTGATCATGTATCTTTCTTGTCGAATCCAAAATTGCTGTGATTTTTTAATATCTTGCTGTATCTCTTCTATATTTTTTTCCAAAGTCATTATTTTCATGTCAAGCGGATTAACTTCTTCACCGCCAGTCTGTGATAATATCTGTGAAAAAGGATTATCAATTTATATAAGTAAACAGAGTCTTTAACATTCCCATATTTTAATAGAATTTTCAGCTGGTAATATTACCTCTTCAATGGTTTTATTCAAGGTGATAATTTTTATTCGTTTCCTTTCAATTGTTGTATCATGTTTTTTTATTTCTTTCTGAATTTCATCTATCTCTTTTCCTTTTGCATCATTACTTTGCAAAAGTTCTTCTAATTCCACTTTTTCATGAGATATGTATGCATTGAGTTGCTCTAATTCTAATAACTTTTTGCCATATGAGTTTTCTGTTTCTACTAATGACAGTTCTTGTTCTTGTATTCTTTCTTTAGAATCTACTAATAATTTATTCAAATAACGCGCTGCTTTATCATGCGCAACTTTGTCCTCTAGCTTGCTATATATTGTATTTTCCAGCTCGTTTTGCTTATTCAAAAATTTTGCAAATTCTTTATCAATTTCTTCCTCTTCGTGTAACAAATACTGCCATTCCTAAAATATGAGATTTGCGTTAAAGATAATAACAATGTCATAAAAAAATATAATATATATA